CAGTAAGATGAGTCTCTCCCTCTCTGGCATGTGGTACAGGCTGGCCTTGAACTCACAGTATAGCTCCTGGGTAGCTGGACTACAGGCAGCCGTCACCTCACCGGCTCCCTCCTTTTTTTTTTTTCCTCCCTCCTTTTAAAGGCTGAATAATAGTCCATTGTAGGTAGGTACCACATTTTGTTCACTCATCCATCTGTCACTTGTTAACTCGTTCCTGTGGGTTGTATCCACTTTTGGGGCCTTATGAATAATCCTGCTAGGAACACAGGCATAGAAATTTTTGCTGGAGTCCCCACCTTCCATTTTTTGGGGAAGGATATACCAGAAGTGCCTGTTTGTTGGTGGAAAGGTATGAGGCAAAGCCCAGGACCTCCTGCAGGCAAAGTGCTGCTCCACCACCGAGCTATACCCTCGGCATCCTGAACATACCCGGCCTCTGTTTGCAGGCACTGCAGCCTCAGCAGCTCCAGCTGGCTGGGGTGTTGCTGAGGGCCGGGGCTGCCGGGTGGCCCAGGGCTGCAGCCTGCATGGGGCTGCTTTCCCTGCCGGCCCCTTCCCCTTCCCTCCTCTGGGCTGCAGGCTCCAGGCCCGACCCAGGGCTGCCTTCCTTGCCTTCCTTTTCTCCCTCAACACTGGCATTTCCTGCCAGGGTAAATGTGGACCTTGCTGTGTTCTTAGCAAAACAGGACTTCTTGGTTTCAGCTCCCATGTGGAAGGTCCAAGCCAGCAGCAGCCTTTTTCTTGCCTGAGGTGATTCTCGGAGGGGGCAGTGGGCTGTCCCTGCTGGACCCTGGTGGGAGCCCAGTGCCTGCCCTCAGAGCACCTCCGCACACTCCCTGCCTCCCACCCGCGTGACTGCAGGGTTCGCACGGGGAAGCTGGTATCTTTTTGGTTTAGTTGAGACAGAGCCTCATTAAGTCACTAAGTTGCCCAGGCTGAGATAACAGGCATATGGTCACCACGCCCAACTCAGATAAGGGACCTTTAAGCTGCTTCCACCTTTTGCCCTCTGTGAAGCGTTCCTATGAACTGACAGCACCCGTATCTGTGGCCCGCTTTCCATTATTTTGTGGATGTCCTTAGAAG